GAGCAACTCTTCTACCGCATCGCCCACCTCAACCGCGGGCAGCAGTACATGCTGTGGGTGGCGGCCGTGACCTCGGCGGGACGTGGCAACATCAGTGAAAAGGTCACCATTGAGCCTGCTGGGAAAGGTGCGGCAGGGCCTGTGGGGTGGGGTGGGCAGATGGGGTGGGGCAGGGGGGCAGTGGGGCTGATTGGAGGGGAGCTGGGTCTCTCTCTGGGTAACAGAGTCCTGGGGGGAGGGGCAAGGTCATCTGGCATTTAGATTGGGCTCAGTGTAGAGCCTGGGAGGCCCACTGCACACTCTGGACCCAGGCTCGGGTTTGACACGTGCCCTGGTGCTGGCTCTGGTCAGCCCCTCGTCTCCAGGACTCGCCGTAGCCAGCACCTCGCGATGCGCCGGCTACTCCGACTGCCCGATGGCTTGGAGCAGGTTCTGCGGCATCGACAAAGGTGGTGAATCTCAGCCCTGGTGCAGCAGGGTGGGGTCTGCACTGTTGGGATAGGCAGGCTCTGTGTGCGTGGCTCGTCCGGCCAGACTGACGTTCCCTTCCCCCCACAGCCCCAGCCAAGATCATTTCCTTCGGCGGCACCGTCACCACTCCGTGGATGAAGGACGTGAGGCTGCCGTGCAATTCGGTTGGGGAGCCGGCCCCTGCCATTAAATGGACCAAGGACAGGTAACTAAAGCCTACCTTTTCCCCACCGTGCAGTCTCTCGGGAGGAGCCCTGATCCTGTGGCAGGGAGGTGGCAAAAGGGAAAAGCTCCAGAGGTCCTTGTTCCTGGAGGAGCTGACCTTTCGCTTGGGGGCGCTGCCTGGCCGTTGGCCTGTGGAATGGAAGAGTGGCCAGGCAGCGCTACATGCCATCTGAGCAACACGCTCTGGAGCCCCATCTAAGCGCTGGGAGCTGCTTGCTGCTGGGAGGCGCAAGTAGGGATTTATGCTGATGAGCTGCTGGCATTTCTTGTTCCTTGCAGTGAGGATTCTGCCATCCCGGTGGCAGTGGATGGGCACCGGCTGATCCAGGCCAACGGCACACTGGTCCTGCGCTCGGTGAAAGCAGAGGATTCTGGGTATTACACCTGCACCGCCACCAACACCTGGGGCTTTGATACCATCATCATCAACCTGCTGGTGCAAGGTAAGGGCTGTGCCAGCCTGGCATGCTCGACCCTGCTCTGCCTTTGCCCATCCTTACAAATCTGCTGGTTGCTGGAAATGGCTGGACAGAGATTTTCTGCAGCCGCATCTTGGCCACTGGGGTTGTTCATTCAGCTCATCGGAGCTTGGAATTAGTTGTTGGAACTCTGTGATTGGCCACTTAAGTCACATGCAGTTGTTTCAGTTCCCCGATGGGGCAGCCTTCCCTTTTATATAAACTAATGTTGCCCGAAGCCAATCGCACTTTGTCATGAGTCAAGTTTTGTTGTACAATTAAATGAGTTTTGTCCGTGGGCCTGAGAATTGCTTTCCACAAGCCCATCCGAACACCGCTTCGCCCAGTGAAAGTGCCCACACCATCAATGTACCGATTGGACTGGTTCTGGTCTCTCATAGGCTGGTGTGTCCATCCAGCCGAGCCCCCCTGGAGTCTATGGAGTTACATCAGTGTGATGCCTCTGTGAGAGCAGAAACAGCTCAGTGTCTGAGTCCCAGGCGTTTCCTTCCCTGTGTTGATGCAAATGAAGCCATGAAGTTGTGCGCACTGAGAGGGTGGGGTCTGGTTGACCTGTTGCTAGTGATGCTGTTGTTACACTTTGCTTTTCACTCATTCTGGAGCAGGGAGGTGAGACGGGATTGTTTTGTTTTCTGTTCCAGGACCGTCTTGCTCTCCGCTCTTGTGCATTAAACCAAGGCTGTTGTTTGGGTTGCCAGGGGATGTTTGAAACATTGAATTAAAAAAACTCCCATGCAAAAATTTCCCTCCATGTTCGGTTTTGCTGAACGCCTTGTAAACTGCCTCCAAATTCTGAACCTCAAAGATCCAACCATTCGATTTTTTCTCCACACTGTGATGAAGCTGGGAAGCTCCATGTCTCTTCCCAACAGGATGAAAGGATAGAGGGCCATCCCTGTGCACATGGGGCTCAGTGCACAAAAGTGTCTGTGGGCACGGTTTGAAATTAACCCTATAAAGGTGCAGATGTCTGGCTCTGGTTCCAGTGTGAAATGCGCTCAGTGACTTTGTGCTGTTTGTTTGATCTAGTTCCCCCGGACCAGCCGCGCTTGACTGTATCTAAAACCTCCGCTTCATCCATCACGTTGGCCTGGATTCCTGGGGACAACGGCGGCAGCTCCATCAGAGGTGAGGCAGGGAAGGGCAAGGGACTGGAGAGCGTCAGGAGCTCTGTGTGGCTGGACAGCTGTAGGGTTGTGATATTGAGTGTCAGGGTTTAGGGTGCTGAGATTCCCTCTTTAAGCGGGGCTTCTGCTCTGCATGGCTTGTGCTCCACAGCCACGGCCAAAGGAGGAGAGGAAGTGGCATAAATTCTGGGGATTCTGCATGCCCAACTCAGGAAGGGGCTGGGGAGATGGCAGATTCTGTGTCTGACCTTGATATTGCTAAGTTTTCTGGGAGGGGCTGGGGGTGGACTGCCATGTGTGAGCAGCTGGGTCTGCTTCGCCACTGGGGCTGCAAAGCCAGATGGAGGCACATGGTCTCCAAGAGGGAAGGGCTAGTGGCTTTGGAGCTCCGGATGCTAGCACATTAGGGCTTAGCTTCTGGAGATCCGGATTGGCCTTCTGAGGATTAATGATGAGTCTGTTACGGAAGGTGCAATGGCGTGCGTCCTTGTTTCAAAGGAGACCCTTGCATGGCTCCCATGGTGGTCAGGGTCAGAGTCAGGGTCTCCTGGTTCTACAGCCAACTTCTGGAGGTGAATGTAGTCTAGTGGTTAGAGCAGGGGAATGGCGAGTCCTGGCTCTGAGAAGGAACGTCAGTCTATGGCTTAGGGCTAAGAACTGGGAGCCAGGAAGACTCCTGGCTTTTACTTCCATCTTTGCCACTGACCGGCTAAATTATTTAGTCTGCGTGCCTCACTTTCCCCGTCTGTAAGAGTGACGCTTCCCAACCTTGCAGGGGGGCTGCAAGTCTCAATTAAATAGCTTGTGAAGTGTTTTTACAAGATCCTGGGACTGAAGCGGCTTGCAAAAGCCAAGCCGCTAATTGCTATTTCTGGCTGCCTGGGAGATCTCTTGTAGCTGCCTGGCGTCTACGAAGCTTGGACCCTGAGTGACTAGGGCTCATCTCCTACCTGCATCTCCCCTTCCCAGCAGATCTTGGACGGCTAGAGAGCTCTAGGAATTTCCTGGCTTTCCGAAGCCTCCTTTCTGCTCTGATTCATCTAGTGAATTATATGTTGAAACAGCTGCAGACTGGGGGTGGGGGGGATGGAAACCTCACTTACAATTAATTAAAAGCATGAAAGTAATTACAAGCAAATCTCCCCAGCCAGCAGCCTTTCACTTCAATGGACTCTGTTGATAAATTTGGTTATAATTGGATTAGAAATATTAAAAACATGCTGCATATAAAAAATCAATAAATAACTAAAGGCCGGGCGAATCGTGGCGTGAGCCTTCAGAACGGGAGTGCGCCGCTTCTCCCGGGCTCTTCCTTCTGCAAAGCAACTTGGTGTTGGCTTTGCAGGGGGAGACAGCGCCACCTGATGGGGCCGGTCTGGAAGTGGCAGGACGGAAGTCGTGTGTGGAATGGGTGTTGGGGGAGAGCAGTGGCAGGGTCCGCGTGAGCAGTGACAGGTTGTGCTGAAGGCCAATGCTGGACAGAATCGGGCACCCTCATGCTGGGGAAGAGGCGCGAGTATTTCTTGGGGTTCTGCTCGGTGTGGGGTTCGCTCCCCTGAGGTTCTGGAAGCAGAAGACCCAAAACTGAGTCAAAGCCACTGAGATGTGCTTGGTTTTATGACTTAGATCCACATGCTGCTGCAGAAGGGATGGGATTTTTATCCCAAGCTCTGAACTGGTCCTGGATCGGGTCAGGGGGCTGGCCCAGGCTCTCTCGATCCATGAACCTTCCCCAATACTGGCTGAGCTTTGAGTTTGTGGTGAAATGTGTAACTAGGCCAGTTCGTTTGGGATAGGGCTTCCCTGGGTGCATGCATGTTAATAACAACACTCTGCCTCTGCCCTACGTGCCAGGTCTCTGGGCCCGGCCAATGCGAATGGATCCAGCTGCACACCCACACCGAGAGGTAGCTCAGCATTACTGCCCCATTATCCTGAGGGGGAAACCAAGGTGCAGAAAGGGAAAGTGACTGGCTCAAAGTCACAGACATGGTCAGTAGCAAAGCTGGTAACAGAACCCAGATCTCCATGCTGCTGGGAGGCAGTGCAGTCTTGTGCATAGAGCCTGGACTGCCACCTGGAGTCATGGGTTCTGCTCCCGTCTGCTAACGACCTGATGGGTGACCTTATGCAAGTGCCCGCCCCTCTCCGTGCCTCGGTTTCCCCTCCCACCACGTGACTGTCTTGTCTGTTTAGATTGTAGGTTCTTTAAGGCACGGATGGTCTCTTATTGTGTGTCTGTCTGGGCAGCTCAATGAAGCTGCAGTTTTGACGTCTAGATGCTATGGTAATACCGTGTCTTTTAACAAGACCATCTTTCCCTCTCTTGCACAGTTCCACCTGGGTTGCCATTGAGTTTGTGTGGGTCTGTCTGTAGTAAAACAAACGCACTTACCTGTACGTCAGTCTTGAGATCAAATATTGTCGGACAGTCAAATCACACAGGCGTCTGAGAGTGTCCAATTGAACATTACTACCTTCATTTGAATAGTCATTCATTCAACTCCTGACGCACATTTGCACAACCATGGGCCTCTCTTCCTGTTCTATTTTTGTTTAAGAATGAGCGAAAGTAAATGCAAAAATAAATAAACCTGTCAGTGCAACACGGAGGTTGAGATTTGCATATATAAAAAGTCAAGACATTCCGAGTTATGATTCCCACGGCAACAGTAAGTCATCCTCATTACACGCAGACATTGGCAGGAACCCCATGCTCGTGATGCGTCCGGTACACCTGCTGCCACCTTTGACTTTCCTCACTCTTTGGAGTGTCTAATAACAATTGTCACTGGGTACTGTGTTTAGTGGAGATGAGCGTGGGCGTGTGTGTGTTACATGTATTGGTCCTATATAGGATCGTTCAGCTATAAATCCAACATCTTAGATCACTGTGAAAACATCTGTGACGTCAAGCCCAGTCCTGCATTACCCGGCACAGCAAACATTCCTTTGTCCATAGGTTCTCTCATCGTTTCCTAAGCAGGGAATCCAATAGCCACATGCTAGATTCCCATTAGAGAGAGCTGCAGTAGCTATGCACGAAGTTCATTGAGCCCTAGGAATTTGCAGTCCATCCTGGGAGTTACAGGTTTTCCTCATTAAGATACTTGGCTAGGCTGATGGGGGAAGCAGCCACACCTGGGGCCATGCCAATCAGGGCCCAGCTGGCCCTGATCAAAGGGCTGTGGGGCCAGGAGGCAGAGGAGTCTCTCTCTAGCTCTGGAGAGAGAAGGACCTGGCTGCAGGGTACCTGAGGCAGAGCAGTGCTGGGGAAAAGGGCAAGAGGAGCTGGGGAGCCCCAGCTTGGTAACTCCCCAGGCTGAGGCCTTGTGCAAGGCCTAAGGAAGGTACTGGGGCTGCAGAGGGACAGCCTGGGAATTGGTCAAACCCCTTGCCAATGAGTGGCCATGACAGACTGCAGTCTGCCCTAGGGAGCGGGGGCTAGATGACGACTGGCAGTAGCCACTGAGGCGAGGTGGGTTTAGAGGGTTGGGGGGTTCCCCAGGAGGGGAGACCCAGAGAGTGGGGGTACAGCTGGGGCAGAACCCTGAGGTAAAGGGGCACCAGCCTGAGGCAGGCAAGCCACCGGCCAGCAGAGGGTGCTCTGAAGCTGGAAAAGAGCTAATTCTAAGACGACCAGCAGGAGGCGCTGGGCCGGTGAGTCTTTGCTTCGCTACAGCACCCTACATAATGGTGACCAAGCTGAATGTAGTCCCTAAACCAATGACTCCTGCACACACAGACTGCTATCAGAGGATGCAGAAATAAGAACACCCACTCAGACACTTTGCAAACCGAGCCTGGAGGTTTCTCTGCACCACATTTTAAAATCTGCAGGGACTGGCAGACATTTAGCGTTCAGTGCAGTGCAGACTGTTGGAGGAGAGAACGACACTGTGCTCTCTCTTAGGGACTTGTGTTAATCTCGTTTTGTAGTTCTCCAACTCTGAAACAAGTCCTTCAGACTGGGCACGTCTGTGTGTAAACAGACTCATAACACAGGGCTTGTGTGCACAGGACACCCTGTTCTAAGCCAGGGGTTACGCTGGCCCAAGCTGTAACAGTGTCATTCTTCCACTATAGCTATACGGGTCAATTTCTCTGTGTAGACAAGCCTACCCTTAAAGCAGCAGCATTGTATGTGTGTGTGTGTGTGTGTGTTACGCAAGATTCCCAAACAAATGACTTGCTGATACACCTATGGAAGTGAGGCCTTTGAGCCTTGTTGGAATAGATTATGTGTTAGGCATTTGACAGGTGATTCTTTGTTGTGCGTATTCTGGGATTGCAAGGGGATCGGCTCAGAATAATACTCACCTCACTGAAGTCTAACAACTGCTTCTGTGTGTGTACGCAAGCCTGCCTCACTCCCCAATAAAGCCCCAAGAGCCATTTTAAGACATGTTGTTGATGGGAGTGTAACAGGTTTATTCATCTAGGACCCGGTGTGTTTCCTAATACTCTTAATCATGTGAAAGGAGGCAGCAGTCAATGACAGAAGCAACTTCCTAGCAGCTTCCCGAGGGAGCTAGTTAATTCCGGCTTTCCTTTTATAGCCTGGCTCCAATCACTCACATTCCACACTCACCGAACTCTGATGCGGAAACAAGTCATTGGTGAAAATGCTATTGATGGTGCCCGGTCGGACACTACATGTCCCAGGGAGCAAGATCGAAAGGCAGGTCGCTTGAGAGAGCCGGGGAGACCGGAGCCACGGGAGTCCCCAGAATTGCTAGTGCCTGGGAGAGGCATCTGCTGAAGGGGCCAGGCCAGGCTGCCAGGTGCAGGCATGCGCCTTCCCCAAGGCGCTGGTTTGGAGAGCGATCAGGGTTGGGAGGACCGAGGGGCAGCCACAGAGGGGATGTTGTGTACAGACTGAGCCCTGGGGGGAGCAGGCAGCAGACCCCCAGGAAACCTGCAGGCTTGCTGGGGGGTGGGTGACAGGGCAGTGTTATGCCTCGCCTTGCACCAGAACTGTGCACTTTGCTATGTACTCGGTGATCTCTGTATCCCAGCCCATGTCCCTCCCCGCACACCCCCAGCCCTGTCCCACAACCCACTGGGGAACATGGGACAGGAAGCCCATTAACCTCAAGAGCTGTGGTTATTGCTGTCGCGGGGCACGGCCCTCCCCCTGTGGCCCTTCTCCCAAGGAGGGCTGGAGGCAGGGGATGGAGTCTGAAGCTGTATCTCCGGCAGGGCAGCTCAGTGCCGGCTCTGACATTTGAGAATCCCTCCCCTCCCCGCCCCCAGTGTTCGCGCTGCCCTCTCGCCTAAGGAAACAGTGCTGAAGTTCCCTGCCTCGGGGCCCCTCCACGCCACAGTTCTCATACTGGATTGTGTGGGACCGTCTTGTAACATGGCAGCCTTGGCATGGTTCAGCTCCCAGGCCACGTGGGAGCCGGCCACGGTCTCATATTGGTTTTGCACCCTGGAAAGGCCCAAAGCTCTAGTGTCGTTCCCGACCATGGGTCAGGCCCCATCTCCCCGCCTGCCCAGTCCCCACAGCTGTGCTGGAACTGGGACCTGCACCATGATGGCCGTTGCAGGGGTCGGGGGGTGTCCAACATTCCTAGTTTGCTGCAGTGCCACTGGGTCAGAGCAGGTGGCTGCAGTGTCAGGTGCTGCTAGGACAGGGGCGTCCGTGAGCTATATGTTCCAGTGCGGGCTTTGGCCCCATGCCTTTTAATCCGGAAACTCCCTTTTCCTGCCTTTTCCCCAGTAACCTGCTCAGACAGCTGGGGGACCAGTAGCTTCCTCCCCACAAACCGACCCGGATGGCAGATGCCCCAACACACATGCCCCTCCGCATGTCTGAGGAGGGATTTGGTGCAGGCTGAGAGAGGTGGATTTTCCTGCCCATAGACTCTGCAGCCGCCAAGCAAGCCAGCCTCAAACCTCGGCGCTAATATCCATAATAAAGGGGGAGGGAATCTCCCCCCTCGTTCCAGCTCCATTTTAATAATCTAAGACAAGAGGGCTCCATTTCCATCCCCATTCATATGTATGAAATTAGGCAGGAAGACATGTTTAATGTGCGCGGAGGCAGAGCTGGATTTGAATTGGAAATCAAGGCTCCTTCCAGGCCTGGCCCGGAGGGGGGTAGGGGAGGCTGTGGAGCGCCATTAGAGTGCCGTGTTCTGGCGTTAATCTGTGTGGTCACGCTCCCCTCGTTAGCTGTTGTTGGCAAAGGGGAAGGTAGGGCAGGGGGGTGGCTAACAATTGACTGATTTTATCTGGGATGAGAAACCGCAAGTCAGTGGCTGAGCGCCCCCCTCAGAAGGCACCTCGGGGGGCCGTGTGCAATGGGTCTGGCGAGGTCCCAGCTGGGCTCCAGCCCCACTGAAAACCCCCTTGTAATCAGCACGGCCTGGCCCTCTCGTTGGTAATCACAGCAGAGCCCGAGGACAGTCCTAGAGACGGGCACCTTGGCAGGGCCAGCGGCAGAATCTCGCAGAGGCCTTTGCCTTCCACCGCTGTCGCTGCAGAGCCTTCTGCTGGGGATTGACGGAAACAGCCCCCGGGATGGGTCTGGAGATGCGTGGCCAGGGGGAGCCGTTAGCGCAGTCCCTCCCCCCACACACAGTGGTGTGGCGGAGCAGTCCCCAGTCTGCAGCCGTGCTGGTGGGGCAGTGTAACGTGCATCAGGCGCTGGGCTCCCCCTTCCCCTTGGGCGAGCGGGTTTCTGGGTGTGGCCGAGGGCTGTCGGAGACGATTCGTCCTGTGTAAGTGCTGGGTCCTGCGTGGAGAGGGGCTCTCGCTCGTGGGCTGGGGAGGAGGAAGATGCAGCAGGTGGGACTCTGCCCTCAGCGTGACTGACAATAGGTGTGAAACGGAGACGTCCAGCAGCACACGGTATTCTAAACCCCAGAAGCAAAGCACCAGACTAATCCCTCCGACTACGGAACCCTGGCTGCCCTCGGCGGCCCAGGCTGGTCAGCTTTTAGCATTATGCACGTGGGCCCTTACGCGTGGCTGGTGTTGCGCCACTTCGATCTGGGTTCCTGCATTGTATCAGGCGCCCATTGCTAGCAGCCCCGTGCAATCTCAGGGCTGTGTCAGTCTGCGCTGGGGGGAGGCAAAGGGGGAGCTAGGGGAATTGTTTTCCTCTGCATTCATTATAGATGCATAAAGATTATTTCCCCTCTGCCTTTTTGGAGTCTGTTCATCTGGCTGCTTCAGCACCATCTGGTGACAGGGGTGGGTTGCAATTTACAACCGTCTGCTGTGAGCCCAAACCAAGGGGTAGGGTGCCCTTAGGGTGTCTCTACCCTGCAATGTGAGCCCCGCTGCAGCAGAACTGAAGTTAACAGCCCCTGGGTTTGTGAACCTAGGGCTTGAGCATCTACATTCATTTGTAACCCAGGCTAGGAATTGTTGAACCCTGGGTCCCAACCTGGGATTCCAGGATCTGCACTGCATTATTCAGGCCCAAGTCCAACCACCCGTATCCCAGACTTCCTAGCGCCCTTCCAAAATATGGCCACTCTATCCCTTTGTTTGTGGTGCAATGTTGGAAAACGTGACTGTCCACCAAACTTGACCATCCAGAGGACACAGAAAGTTGGCTTGTGGGATTCCCAGAACACGAGTCATAGGGGGGCTGCATCTACACTGCAAAGCAATAAGGCTTGAACCCAGGGCCCTGGCTTGACTCAGGGTTTGACCCTCCATCCCTGTGGGGACCTGGGATCTGAGCCCTGGGTTAGTGTGATTTGTGTGTAGATGGTAGAGGGGGTTAGGCTCGAGCCTGAGTTGAAACTGCTGCGTAGACATACCCTTAGTCTAAAACAGTGGTGAGGACTCTGGACTCCTGGGTTCTCTGGAGGACTCTGCCTCTGATTGGCTGCGCAACATTGGGCAAGTAACTTGGAACCAGGTTCTCCCGTGAATGTGGAGCATGTGCAGCGGGCTGGGTAACTGCACATTAAATTGGCTAACCTTGTACTTTGCACAGGCAGTTAATGCAACACCTTCCATGGTGTTACCTAAAGGCTCTTCAAATCTAGCTCCTTAGCCCTCCCTGCCTCAGTGTATCCATCTGTACAATGGGGCTGAGAGTCACCTACCTTCGGACGGGCGGGATTGAGGCCTGCTTGTTGATTGGATGCACAGATTCAGAGCACAGTAGACCTGCCGAGCCAGGGCTTCTTTGACCAGCCCTTTCCCACCTGCCACCATGTTGCAACCCCCTTGGAGAGGAGAAACAGGTTGTGCTCGGTCCCTGTCTCCCTGACTCCCTCTAGATCTTGAGCACTAACAGCCCCTGCTCCTCTCCCCCCGCAGGCTTTGTGCTGCAGTACTCGGTGGACAACAGCGAGGAGTGGAAAGACGTGTTCATCAGCTCCACCGAGCGCTCGTTCAAGCTGGACAGCCTCAAGTGCGGCACGTGGTACAAGGTGAAGCTGGCAGCTAAGAACAGCGTGGGGGCCGGCCGGATCAGTGAGATCATTGAGGCCAAGACACACGGCAGAGGTAAACCAGCAGGGGCCACCCAGCTGCTCGGAACTGCTCTGTCTGCCGGCCTGATGCTGGCAGAGTTGCTTGTACGTCTCGGGCCACCTGCGCTGGTTCCCCTCTTTAATTCATTCCTTAGCTCCTGGCGAGCGAGCGAGGGAGGGAGGGGCTGGGGCGAGGGAGGAAGTAGACCGCCCCTCGTTCAGCACAGCACTATGGGCCGGGTGCATCCGCACAAGCCGCTGCTGGAGGCAGAATGCAGGCCACGGCCTGACGAGCGAGTTCTAGCTTGTCGGCAGGGAAAGGCGAAGGGCTTCCCTTTTGCTTCTGTCCTGGACGATGCTCTTCCTGAGCTGCTGGTCACTCCCAGGGCATCCTGGACCAGCTGCTGCTCCGGCACGCGCTCACCAGGGCCTCCCCCAGCCCAGCGAGGAAAGGTCCTGAGGCAACTTGCTCTGCACTGTTCCGTGCCACTGCCCAGGCCCTAGCATGGCCAGGGGCCTCACAAGCCTGGTGCAGAGATTCACCAGCTGCATTTCTTTTCCCTTTCAGATTTTACATTTGACCTACCCATTGTGGGGTCAGGTGTTGATGCTTTAACCCCTTCCCATCCTCATGTCATACTGCCACGCACCCTGCCTTCTCCCCCAGTTTGCTCCAGTGCAGTTTGCTATCTGCAGTATTGGGAACACAAGGAGGAGTGACAGCAGCATGATCCTGCGGGTGTGTGGATGATGCTGGGTCCATGGTTAGGTGTCCAGAGAGGGTCCAGTAAGGCCAGCGCTGCCTTCTTGCCAGGATCAAGCGAGGTAGACTGGTGGGCAGAACAGGAGAATCAGGAAAACTCCTGCCCCAGTCTGTTGTTGCAGGGTTATTTGGTTTTGTAAGGTTGCCGCAGGGGCCAATTGACTCCTCTGTGCGGCCGTCAGTGTCCTTTTCTTTGCTGAAATGAGAAACTCCCAGGAGCGTTTAGAATTTTCCTCTGTAACGTGCGGTGCAAGGTGCAGGAGGTCAGTTTATTGGCCTCACGTCCTTGACAAGAGTCCTGTTAAAAGTTGGCCCTGGCCTTATACGGACGAGCTTATTGCTGGCTGTGACCGATGGTAAAAGAACTCCACCGTCCTCAGTCATCTTTAGTTAAGATGCTGTCGCAACTGGCTGTGACCAGAAGTAGGATTTTTTTCCCCTGGCTGCCCAGGCAGTGACCTCCGCAGTCGTGTATTATGGAGACACAGGTTCTGCTCCTCCAGTTCAGTTCCCAAACCCTAATTCCAGCAGCCCAGCCGTAAAACCCCTGCAGGAGGGAACCTGAGCAGCAAAGCCCCTGCCTGGGTGACGTGGCAGGAGGGGCCCTTTGCTGCTTCTCACTTGCTGGGCATTTACCAGCGTCCGGGCAGGCGGCTTTGTGCTTGGGAGCTCTGTCACCAGCTTCGCTTTGCAGCATGAACTGTGGCCGCCGGGCAGACGCTGGGTTGGAGGGGGTTGAGCGCGCTGAGTGTTGCTGGCAGGATGGGGACGGGGTAAGAGCCAGCTCCCATTGAAGGCTGGACTGAGACCCACCACCGAACTGCTTCAGATGCAGCAAAGCGAGTGAAGGCCATGGGGAGGGGGGCAGATGGGAAGCTTGCCCTGTACGAGCCGCCCCCTCCCAGGCCCTCATGGCACGTCCTTTTCCACAGAGCCCTCCTTCAGCAAGGACCAGCACCTCTTCACCCACATTAATTCTACGCACGCCAGGCTGAACCTGCAGGGCTGGAGCAGCGGGGGCTGCCCCATCATGGCCATTGTCCTGGAGTACCGGCCCAAGGGCAACTGGGTCTGGCAGAGCCTCAAGACGAACAGCTCCAGTGAGCTCTTCCTGACGGAGCTGCGCGAGGCCACCTGGTACGAGCTGCGGATGAAGGCCTGCAACAGCGCCGGCTGCGGTAACGAGACCGCCCAGTTCGCCACGCTGGACTACGACGGCAGTAAGAGCTGACGCAGCACGGGGAGTGGCCTGGTTCTGGGGGGCTGGCCGCGGGGCATCGCGTGCTTTAGGGGGCTGGAGCATGTGGTGCGGGTTAGGCAGCTGGGGTGGGCCAGCAGTAGGATTCCCGTGCTGGCGTCGTTGCATTAAGGGGTTGTCTCTCTTGCTCAGCGTTTTGCTGCTGCCTGTGGCCCTGCTGAGCCACTCAGCTGAACGCCAGGCAGCTGCAGCATCCAGAATCCACTGCTTCCACCCCACCTTCCTCACTTTCTAGCCGGGCCTTCTGTGCAGCTGTCACTAGCCTTCCTCCTGCCCCTCGCCCTCCTCTGCCCACAGCTGGGATCCCATGGGGCTGTGGCGCCTGGCCCGGAGCTGGGAGGGGAGCACGAGTAGTGAGATTTGCCTAAAGCAGGTTAGAGAGACGAGCTGCACAGAGCTCTTCTTCGGGCCTCTGGGTAGTTGGAAAGCTCGTCTCTCTCACCAGCAGAAGCTGGTCCAGTAAAAGACACGCACACACTCACTCACTAAGGCTAGGTCTACACTACAGCGGGGTTCCGACCTAAGATACGCAACTTCAGCTACGTGAATACTGTAGCTGAAGTTGCGTATTTTAGGTCGGCTTACCTGGCGGTGAGGACGGGGGAAAGTCGACCGCTGCCGCCGACTCCGCTGCCGCCTCTTGCCGAGGTGGATTTCCGGAGTCGACGGCAGAGCGATCAGGGATCGATTTTACCGCGTCCTCACGAGACGCGGTAAGTCGATCCCCGATAGACCGATTGCTACCCGCCGGATCGGCGGGTAGTGAAGACATAGCCTCAGTCTCTTTCTACTGTCCCGGGACTGACACGGCTACCAGCACACCCTGAACTAGATTAGGCTGATGGGGAGAGGAGTACAGGAGAAAGCCATCTCTCCAAACCCCCAAGAGAGCGTATGCTGGAGACTCCCTGCTACGTGCCTTCCTAGCTCACCACAGGCCTGTCCTAGCTAGAGACTTCTCCAGGTCTTTCTCCTGCCTTATTACTAGGTACACGGTCGCTCTGGCTCCCAGCTGTCCCAGCTCGGGGGCTGGGTTTTAAACACACCCACAGCCTGATCTTTGTGACCCAGCGCAGTCTCTGCGGCGTCTGTGCTGGCTGGGGTCTGACAAGGCACAGCAGGGCTGTAGCAGCCATTCCTCCTCTCCCATCCAGGGCCTAGGCTCCTTCCTCCTGGAAGGGGTGGATTTAATTAGCAGTGAGCTGCCTGTTTCCCAGCCCAGGTAGACAGACATGTGCTTGAACTAGCATGCGAAACATAGCAGTATGGCCATGTCGACGCAGGCTAGCCATCCCAGTACAATCCTGCCCGACCCCGGAGGCAGACACGGGCAGCTCCCCAGCGGCTGCAGCCACCCTGCTGTGTTCGCAGCACTAGCTCGCGCCTGTCTGCCTCCCCGCACTGGGAGGCAAACACCCAGCTGCCCTGTAGACATACCCCATCGCCCCTTCAGTCCTTGGCATCCCTGCGCAGGCTGTCTGCAGTGGTTTCGTTTTGTGATGCAGACACCCGGGAACTGGAGTGATACCCCACCCCTTCCCACACCACCTCCCTCACTTACTGTCCAAAGAACATTGAGAAATGTCCTAGTAATTGCCACTGGAGAACCAGCCATCATCCCTGCTGCTCCCCTGCCCCCTCTCCCTGCAAAGATTGCAGGGGCCAGTATCACTATCCCTATTGTACACATGGGGAAACTGAGGCACGGAGCAGGGACCTGACTTGCACAGGGAGGGAGTCAGTAGCAAAACCAGGAAATGAACCCTGGAGTCCTGGCTGTAACCGCTCAGTCCCTTAGCGTTCAGCCTGTGGGGGTTCTCGCCGTAAAGCAAACCCCTCTACGTGTCACACCTGCTTTGTTTCTTCACCTTTCACAAGGGCAGCTCAGGTGCCAGGTGGGTTTGTTCCAATTACACAAAGGCCAGAAATCTGTGCCGGCCCCTTCCTGAGCAGCCCCCGAGCCAGGCAGTGCCAGCTGTCAGCAGGGAGTTGTGGTAGAGCTGGTGTGTTCTCGTGACAGATGCTTCTGCTCAGAGCCTGGTCACATGTTCGTTCTCCAGGGAGACTGCAAGTGCCTCGTTTTTATCAGTGGACGGAGAGGGAGAGGGAGATGAGACAGGGCAGGTGTGCCCGTTACCTGACTGAGTACCCTGCCCCCACTCCCCCTTCTGCAAAGCCCACACCACCCAGCAGGGAAATGAAATTTGCATGCAGTCTTCTCTGGGGGGCAATAACGCATCCCAGTGGCCCCACATCCCCACCCTCCAAGCGCTGACGTCCTCAGGAGGTTACCATGGTCAGTGGCTGTGGCAAGGACTGCGTGCCAGATAAACTCTGTGGTGGGTCAGATCAGAGCGCTTTACAGCACGTGGCTATGTGTTAGGAACATGAATCCTGGCAGGGGAGGTGGTGGCTGGGGCCAGGACACCTCTTAGCGGCCATTTCCGGGACTTGCAGTTGTACATGCTCTCATGTATCATGTGTGTGCTTAGCGTGGGTTCCCATGACTGACTGTAAGAAGGGCTGGGTGAATCTCCCGTAGCCCTGTGGGGTGAGCCCCCAACAGCCCAGCTCTGAGGGTAGGTCTGTGCAGAGAGAGCAAGCGCATTTATCTGGGCATCCCAGACACCACCCCCTGCCCCCACCCTGACATCCCTCTGAAGCCGCTTTGCAGTTGGGAGGAAGCTGTTGTCCGCAGCCCAGCCTGGCCTCGGCTGGGCTCAGGTCCCCGAGCTGAGGTCCGACGTGGGTGTGTTGTCTTACTGCCTCGTGTGTGTGTGGCTCTCTCCTAGGTACCATACCCCCAATCAAATCTGCTCAGGGGGAGGGGGACGACGTGAAGAAGCTTTTCACCATCGCCTGCCCTGTGATCCTGGCCACGCTCGGGGTGGCCCTGCTCTTCATCATCCGGAAGAAGAGGAAGGAGAAGCGTCTGAAGAGATTGCGAGGTGAGGTGTGAGCCCGGCCTCCTGTGCCCCACTGAACGGACGTAGCATGAGAGTCGGTCCTGAAGCGCATGGCAGAGCCATAGCCGGTTGGGAGGAAGGGATCTAGCAGGCAGGCAGGCAGAGTGAACAAGGTAGGCTCAGGAAGCATTGTGGTAGTTGCCTGAGCTTTGTTAATATTTTGGGTGGGTTTGTTGGGAGCTGATTAGTTTACACTAACGAGCGTTAGGTCTCGCTGGAGTTTTCCTGGAAGGCAGGCCTTGCGGTTCTTTAATGGCATACACTACCTTTGATGGTTGCAGTTAAACACCTTTGGGCTTTAGAGGGTTTGACCATGGCCAGCCGTGTTCCCAAGTGGTGTTTGTAACTTGCATCTGCAGTTTGGCATATGGCGGGGCAGGAGAGGGACTTGGGGGCGCTCTCTCCCTACAAAGTCCAGCCTGCACTTTCACTGCTTTGGGCAGGGTTCCCTGCCCTTTTCCCCACCCAGTCCCCAAAGCATAGACAGATGGTTAATGAAACGGAAAACTTTGATGGGGGGGGGCGGGTTCAGTTAACATGGATTAAACACATTGGAACAGTTAATAGGAGACAATAGATTTCTAGCGGAAAGCAGGAAGTATGGGCAACAGCCCTGCAAAGGCAGGGGAGATGGTATTTGACAGAAGAATCTGTAAGCTGCTCTGCCGTGACAGTGGTAGGTATGGGAGTAGACGACAGACAAACAAAGTGCCCTCATGAGTTTTTGAAGCTCTAAAGTCTGTGATCATCCATTTCAGTGTAGATCTTAGTTTAGATCCTGGAGGCTCTCTTGGGCATTGGATTGTGTTGCTCTTTAAAAGCATGCACCGAACAAGGCTGAATTTTGGTTGGATGGGTGAGGCCAAGAGCTTCATTGACTGGAAGGATTTTAAAAAAAAAAAATTAGCAAACTAGTTTGGTCAGGTACTTAGAAAATAACTGTGCCTATTATCGTAGTTGGATGGCAGGATACTGTGATTGTACACACCTTACACTAGAATTAATGTTGACCGTGTCTGTGTGCATGTTCTGTACCCTCCCGCCTAGCATATCACACAGAAGGCTGTTCTAGAAACTTGCCTTCGCACACAGGGACACGCCCCAGCCCATGCATCCATCTGCAGTGGGAACAGAGTCTATCTTCCGACCTTTTTGTGGCTCTCTTACAAATGTCTCTCGCTTTTGTATTGCAGATGCAAAGAGCTTGGCAGAAATGCTAATAAGGTGAGTGAGCAGCACCACCTTTTCCAGTGTAAGAACCTGTCTCGCTTGCCGGTGGAGTTCGTGGCACCAGAGCGCACCCTCAGCGTGTGTCTACATATGCTGCAGTCGCACCTCCCACTTGCAGTGTAGACAGACCCACAGTGATCGGGGGTGTCACTTCCAAGCCTCCTTTTCTAATGCCGCTTGAAAGCAGGTGTAGCCAGTGGCTGCCGCTGGCCCCCCTATTCTGACAGCAGACAAATGTTGCCTGAGAAGTGGCCCTGTGGTGCTGTCTACCAGATGGGGGTGTTTGAGTCTGGGATCATACCCAGCATTGACCCTGCAGGCGGGAGGCTGCCCTGAGGAAGAGAGGATAGAGGTGGTGCCCTGACAGGCGCCGAAGCCCAGCGCTGTGTGACTCGCCTCACAGTCCTGCCTGCTCATTTGGGGTAGCGTGAGCACCCAGCGCTGCAGGGATTGGATCCCTGTGATGATGGAGCACAGCAAAGACCCTATTTTACCCACTAATTGGGGATTTGAGGGCTTCATAACATTGAATATCTCCCAGTGACAGCAGCGGGTCTTGTGCGTCACTTTCTGCTCGTCTTTCAAAGCACGGCAGAGCGATTTCCAATACGTGGCAGGTGTCGGAATGTGATGGGGTGGCGACTTGTTCTTCACCCACAGCCCTTTTGTGTGGTACCCCCCCAGCAGGAAGAAAGGGGTCGTAGAGCTGGTCGCCGGTAAGGCTGTCAGTGAAGTGGAGGCTCTACTATATTCATTGGCTTCTCTCTTCTCTGCAGCAAGAATAACCGGAGCTTTGACACACCAGTGAAAGGGCCCCCCCAGGGGCCTCGGCTGCACATCGATATTCCTCGTGTCCAGCTGCTCATTGAGGACAAGGAGGGCATCAAGCAGTTGGGTGAGTGGGGCTCTTGCCTCAGATCTAATGGCACTCGGCCTTGTTACAGTTTAAAGGATGGCTGAGCAAACCACCCTTCCCTGCTGAGGGCCACGGCGGCACCTTTCCAATAGCCCCACAGGCTCCTGGCTGGGTCCAGTTGGAGTGTTGCAGGCCGGGACGCACTCCTGCTCATTCGCTAGAGACGAGGGCAGCGGCAGCAAGCACTGTGAGATGGGACAGGCGTGGCCATACTTTGGGAGAACCCACAGAAGGGCCCTTGGGGAAGAGAATCTTTCCCCTGCTATGCTTCTGGCCAGGGAAATACTATTCCCAGGTGGAGATCTGCCTGCCCTGGCTTCTGAGTGCCAGCTCCCCATGCCAAGAGCCCATCCTGGCCAGGGCATGTACTGGAGGGTCTCTCGCCACCCCACCTCCAATCTCCTTGTATTTATTCCATCTTCAGCCAAGTTGCCAATACCGCTTGGGATCGTTCTCACACTCTAGTTCTGGGGGGGGACTGGGTTGGAAGCTGAGAGGGGCCCTCAGGACAGAGGCTGGGAGGCGCCTCTGCCTTCCTCCTTCCCGGGCATGAAATGGGGGCAAGTGCCACTTCCCTGGCCCTGCACCATACAGCACAGGAGGAGCTGAGCGAAGCCCCAGGTCTCTTGTGTGTATTGAGCCTGAGGGAATTCCCCCAAGCAGCGAAGCCAGAGATGGGTCTGGCAGGGAGTTACTGTCAAGGGGGTCAGGACAGCGTGGGCTGGTGATGCTGGTTACTTGCCACAGAAGTGTCTGTGGAGCTGTCTGAGCTCAGTTCCCAAACTCTCCTCCTTGCAGGGGATGATAAAGCTACAATACCAGTGACAGACACAGAGTTCAGCCAAGCTGTGACTCCCCAGAGCTTCTGCACTGGGGTATCCTTGCACCATCCAGCTCTGATACAGAACACCGGACCCTTGATCGACATGTCTGACATTCGACCCGGAACCAGTAAGTCCCCGAGGCTGTTCGCTGCCTGAGTACCCCTGAGTACCATTGAGCTGAGCGTTGTAAGGGGGCTGTCTCCTCCCAGACCAGCTTGGGTGGAGTTAGGCAGCCTCTGAGTGTGCCTACTGGATCCAGCCCCTGCAGGGCCGGGCCATGCCTATGTGCCCTGCTTTGAGAATCCTTAGGCATGAGATGGAGATGGGGCTCGCCAGAGGTGGCAATAGATGTGCTCAGAGGCACCTAGAGAACTATTAGAGCACAAACTTAGGTGTAGTTGGGGGATTGCAGTGGTGCCTAAAAGTGGGAGCTAGGCACCTCAGCCGCTGTGTGGCTTTGCGTGCCCATCTTTGCACCTCCAAAATCTATGCATGGGGCCCATACTGAGCTCACTCACTCATTCTCAGTTCAAGCCCCAGCTCAGCTCTGGCTGCCTCAGCACTGTCTGTAGCTTGCTGTATTGTAGGAACGGGGAGACTCTCTACCCTCAAATTGTACTGCAGACGCTGTACTGAGTCTTCATCAGGCATCCCACGCCAATTGGGCTGTGTTTGCATTTTAGAGCACTTTAAAGTGAAACGCAGGTCAGATGGCAGGAGAGGAAGTGAGTTGTACCTCAGGAGCCCCTTCACCATCCCCCCCCAACTTGTACCACGCATGGGACCCACAGCCTACTACTAGCATGCACATTTCCACGACACACTGATGGGCTGTGAACTTTAGAGCACTTTGCACATCTTCTTTTAAACAGAAATGCTACTGTAGCCTGTGTGTGTCTCAGGTGGCTGTTGGCATTTCTTGTCTTCCTCACAGCAGCACAACCGCATAGAACGAAAGTGAAAATCTAATACTGCCTGGATTACTGGGGGTTGGAGCTTTGGGTGGATCATGTCAGGCAAGGCTAGGGTGATACGTCCTACGTGAATACTGCCCATTTCCCCCCCCTGACTTTGTGCCAAAGAAAAGTGATTTCTTCCCATCCCAAGAACAAGTGTGAAATACCAGCTGTGGTGTGTGTCAGTAACCTAACTGCACCCTGTCCTTTATAAGCCTGCTCCTATTACCGAACGTGGTGGTGCTGCCGCCTGCTCCAGAAGCCACCCTCCCCTTTGTGCATTGTGGCTGTGAGAGCTCCCGTGCAACAAATGCAATTGTGACAGGGACGAGTGCAGCAGCAGCAGGGCATTGAACAGACAGATTCTGAGGGGGAGTGAAAATGTTTAACTATTTGCAAATTACTGTCACTCAGTATACCTCAAAGGGGTGTTACATTAGACATTCAGGAGCTCATAGTTAGATGTAGGGTTACATGGTTATATTTTGTTATTCACACAAGACCTTCTGCTAAGAGTTATTACTGTTATGTAAATAGTGTACATGGATTGTCTTTGTATTTAGTGATGATAATTCCAGTTGCTTTAGACTTATGTCTCCAGCTGAGCAGATAACATCAACAATATATCCTTTATAATGAGAAGACAGGGAGTCTAAATATGTGCATAAACTTCATAAAAATATCAGACAGAAAGTAAGTTTCTCAAATCTGTCCATTCTACAAATGACGACAAATATTTTGATGTTTGTATCATGTTATACAAGTGACTACAGACTCTTGCTCTAATAGAAGACAAAAAAGCACAGGAAAATGCATAAAATATATCATTTGGAGCTAAGCATTTTCCAGACTTTCCAAAGAACTATTTTGAGTACTTAATTGCATTATCAATTGTATTTAGAAGTGTTCTGCCAATTTGCCACCAGTTATGGCTCTTTTTCTGATTTTTTTCAGATTGGATGCCTGATAATGTTTAAACATCCATGCTGGTGATGACCACTAGATATGTGCCTAACATGTGGTAGCAATCAACTTGTTGTAGCTGATGAGTTACCCCTTAGTGCCCCAAATGGGTCAGGGCTGGTAAAGGACAGACACTTACTTATGTCTGTTGGTGGACAGATGTCTAGCAATATACACAGACATACATCTGTTTGCACCTGTGTCTAGCTGTAGACACACATGTCCACCCTGTAGCCAGGTGGGTCCCAGGGAGGCTCTGTTTGCCTCAAGAGAGCACATCTTTCTCAATTCTCAGAGAACAAATCCAACTTTTGTACTTCAGACCCAGTTTCCCGTAAGAGCGTGAAATCTGCGCACAGCACCCGGAACAGGTACTCCAGCCAATGGACTCTCACCAAATGCCAGGCGTCTACTCCGGCACGTACTCTTACATCAGACTGGAGGACTGTGGGATCCCAGCATGGAATTACAGTCACAGAGAGTGACAGCTACAGCGCCAGTTTATCTCAGGATACGGGTGAGTTGGCAGGATGGGGAATGTGGTGGTGGGGATTGCTGCCTGAGGGAAGGCCAGGTGGCTGGCACACCTAGTGGAGCAAGAGAGAAACCAGAGGCAGCAGCACTGCTCAGCTACCCACTTACTCACTCCTGGGAGCAGCTTCTGCCCCACCCACCATCTCTCCAGCAGGAAACAGCCCAGGGTATCCAGAGACAGCCTCCTGCCACCCATCTTCCAGACTGAGCATGCTCTGCAGCAGGGTGGAGTTGATTTAAATCGTCAGTCAGGAAGACTCGATTTAATCACGGATTTCTACATAAAAGTGCATTTGTGTTGGTTGTTATAACCTTAATACATATTCTTCACAACTCAGAGATAGATGTAGCTTTCATTTTTAGAAGGGACATGCTATACATTTTTAAAAACTTTTCAGATTAGTTTTACAGCTATATCATTTATAAAAGGTAATTGAAGTCATTGGGAGGTGAACTATCTCCAGGTCAACAGGTTAATCATTAATATTTGGAGGATTTTCTTGCCATGCCGTATTAGGAGGAGAACATCACTGGGCAGACATTTAAATTGTTTTATTTAACAGCAAACATATAATAATTTAACAAAACAAGCATATATGAATCTTTGAATTTAGTTAAACATTCAAGCTTGTTAAAGAGTTAAATGAAAATCTTTAAAACAAAAATTAAATCCATGGTCAGCCACGGCAGCATGAGAAATGTAAAATATTGGCTTCTGCAGCTAACTCGGCTGTCTTCATCTTCCTGTTTGTTCATCATCTGGAAAAGAAAAACAAGCTTTCCTATGTCCCAACTGATTTCTCCATTTGGAATGAATTAGTCCAAAGGAGGAAAATCGTCTTTCGGCACTGGTAGAAGAAACTACTGCTGTTAAAATGTGAGATCATCACTTCAGTGGTCTCTGAAGCCAAGTGCTTGTGTGACTTTCTGTAAAACATCATCAGCAAATGTATATTTATTTCATGCTTAACTCTAAAGTTTATTATAGTTGGCAGTATGGAGGGGTGATTGCTAGGTGCCTATGTCATAGCCAACTCCTCTTCTTCAGCAGTTAAGGTCTGACCCTGGTACCATGTATAGAAAATATTTGCAAGAAAATGAGCTGGAGCTGGTGCTTGTCCCATTTATTTGTTTTGTTTAATGCTTGTAATTTAACTCTGTTGTAGCATAATTCTCTTTTTAAGCCCTCACTCAGTTCCTTCCAAACGTCAACAATAAAACAGCTATTTTCCCAACATTTTGGTCAAGGCTACAGAAATTGGCTTCAGGGTACTTAGCGTGTGTTCAACATTTCTCTTAAGCCCAATGTTGTGAACCTTGGCTGTGACTGGGCCATCTATTTTTTTCATGATTTTGTTCACAAAATGTCACCAGATTAGGCCAGTTCTTGATACAGTGCTCAAAACAGTTCACTACTGAGTTCCATTGCAGGTCTTGTGGGAGAGTTAGCTTAGTTCCTCCTAGAGTGGCTGTTACAGAAGTATTCTGTAACTTAGAATCATAGAATATCAGGGTTGGATGGGACCTCATCTAGTCCAATTCCCAAACTAAATCATCCCAGCCAGGGCTTAAAAGCCTCTCAGGATGGAGATTCCACCACCTCCCTAGGTAACCCATTCCAGTGCTTCACCACCCTCCTTGTGGAAAAGGTTTTCTAATAGCCAACCTAAAGTTCCTGCACTGCATGTTGGGACTATTGCTCTTTGTTCTGTCACTGCAGAGAATGGGCTAGTGCCATCCTCTTTGGAACCCCCCCCCCTCATTCTTCCCTTCTGAAACTAAACAAGCCCAGTTCCCTTGGCCTCTCCTCATAAGTCATGTGCTCCAGCCCCCTAATCAGTTTTGTTGCCTGCTGCTGGACTCTCTTCAATTTTTCCACATCCTTCTTGTAGTTTGGGGCCCAAAACTGGACACAGTATTCCAGATGAGGCCTCCCCAATGCCGAATAGAGGGGAACGATCACGTTCCTTGATCTGCTGGCAATGCTCCTACTTATACAGGCCAAAATGCCATTAGCCTTCTTGGCAACAAGGGCACACTGTTGACTCATATCCAGCTTCTGGTCCACTGTAACCTCCAGGTCCCCTTCTGCAGAACTGCCACTTAGCCAGTTGGTCCCTAGTCTGTAGTGGTGCATGGGATTCTTCTGTCCTAAGTAAGTGCAGGACTCTGCACTTTGTCCTTGTTGAATCTCATTGGATTTATTTTGGCCCGTCTTCTAATTTGTCCTGTCTAGGTCCCTGTGTATCCTATCCCTACCCTGCAGTGTATGGACTGTTCCTCCCAGTTTAGAGTCACCTGCAAACTTGCTGAGGGTGTAGTCTATGCTATCCTCCAGATCATTAATGAAACTATTGAACAAAACCGGCCCCAGGAGCAATACTTGGGGCAGTCTGCTTGAGATTGGCTGCCAACTAGATGTGGAGCCATTAATCATTACCTAGCTGTCTGTCTGCCTTGTAGTCCATTCATCCAGCCCATATTTCTTAAACTTGCTGGCCAGAATACTGTGGGAAGAGTGTATTGACAGTACACTTCTTGGCTTTCCTGGTCAGGATGGCAGATTGATGACTCAGTCCCCCATAGGAGGGAGTCTCTGACCACCACCACCTGCTGCCTGGGAGTGGTGGTTGTGGAACTCCCATCCCTAGGACAGTGCAGCTTCTATTGGTGGAGTCTCCATCTGCTTCCTTCCCTCAGATGATCATGTAGGTGGCACTCTGCATTAGGACCTGTGGTGAGAACATGGAAGGGGGTGCTCACCTGTAGCTGCAGTGCTGGTACATGGATGCTCTTCTGTTGTCTTTTGGAAGTCACATGCTGCCAAGTGTCTTCACTGTCCTCCTGTTCCTGCTGGGCAGCCTGCTTGGCTTCCTCGGAATGTTGTCCTGGACAGATGTCAGGATATGTATCTGTAGGTGCATCTTCATGTTCTCTCATGCAACAAAGGCTTGATACTTGTTTCTCTAGTTCTTGAACTGTCTCTACCACTAGGGAGACAAGCTTGTGCTTTGCTTTGGCCATAGTTGCCTCTGTCCTGTGGAAGAAAGACACATGTGGCACAGCAGTTGATTGAAAGAAGGGAGATGATATGGATGTGAGCTAAGAGTGTCCTCACCTGTTGCAGCTGCTACTGGGAGAAGCCTGTAAGATGAAAGAGTCAGTGGGCCCTCCCTGGGCAGATGACCTGTGGTAGCCTCTCTGCTGAGTGCTGCCCAGGTGTGTTTCAGCTGGCTAGATGCCGGAGTCCTGGCTCACAGCCCCACCCAGCAGTCTATCATTCAGCCCATGGAAGGCCCATGTGGAACACAGCACTGCAATGTCTCAGTTCCTAAATGCTCTTCCGTGGTGCTGAAACAAATGCTGGATTGTTTGAAGCAAGGGGCAGGTTCTGGCCCCCCTGGCCTCCCTGTTAAACTCCCTTGTAAACTCCCCTGTTTGCCATCCCTGTTCGCACGCTCCTCTGGTCGCTTAGGGGCGGGCTCCTTATAGTCCCAGTGGCCCTGCCCCCTGGGAAGGGGCTGATGGGTGCTATTAGGCTTAGTGCTCACAGCCTTGCCTGGCTGGCTGCTTGGCTCGGCATTGGCTCAAGCAGAGCACACTACAGACAAGATTCTTGCCCTAAGGGTCACATAATCACTCCTCCATCACCTGCGGCCCTCCCTCTCAAAACACCATTCCTACAACATTGGCCTTTCTGTCTGGAACACTGAAGTCTTTGGGTAGGAGGTGCATCAACTGAGCATGCAGCCATGGGGGGTTAGCTCAGGACTCTCCTCTAAACAACTGCTTCTCATCTTGGATACATTTGCAGCATTGTCTGTGACCAGGCTACATACTAGACATTTGCCTTCTCCCCACACTTTGTTATAGCTTTTCTTGCTGCTACTTGTAAACAGTCTGCCGTGTGTGCATTTCCTGATGTCTCAATTGGTTCTGTAAAAAAGACATTCCCTCCTTTCATTGTCACACAAGCACCTACAACCAGATCAGTGTGGACATGTCTCCACCCATCAAGCCTCAGGTTGACAACTTCACCATCTAGCCCTTTCATACACTGCTCAATTTCTCTTTCGGATATTTTATCCAGCAGTCTGTCTGTGACATCTGCTCTGTTGGGTGGACTGTATCCCAGTCTTAACAGCCAAACCACATTAATGAAGTGAGGGTTCTCTATCATTCAGCACAGAAAGTTCCTGGTATAAACAAACCAGGAACATTTTCCAGCACTTACCTCTTTCTGTGATCTCCTAATTCTTTGCACAAACATTTCTACGGTTCTTTCTGGGTGATGGAGAGTTCATTTTCTTTTTGCTACACAGGATATACAATGGCACTGACTGCAACACTATCATTGGCAGACAACTCTGAAACTATACAAAATGACAGTAGCCATGAAGGGTGGATACTGTACGTTGTACGTTGAGGACAGATTCTTCTCAACATAAGTCAATGCAGTTAATTATCATCATACTGCTCATTACATGCACTGACACTCAGTACCACCATTTTAGATAGATAAAAAATAAATAGCTGAACTAGACAGATCTTCCTTTTACAATTTCACCTTTAGAGAAACAAACAACTAACAATATCTTTTGCTCACACATGACAATTCAAGGATAGTCCAGAAGGAAGACAGACAGACAGTCCTTAAGAAAGTATGAAATAAAAAAAAGGTTACCAGCCTGAAGATCCTGCATGTTCCTTCCACCAGCTTCAACACAGCTTCCACCAGAGAAGAAATACTTCTCGTGACATTGTTTCATTCAGACAACCAGGCCTTGCATTTCTTTGCTGCACTGTTTGCATTTTACACACACACACACACACACACACACACACACACACACACACACACCCCTGTCTTACCCACAGGTAGAGGAACTTCATTGAAATAATCCCAAACTGGATCTCTTCCTTTTACTGCCTGCTACCATTATAGGTTTTCCCTTCTAGTGGGAGAATGGTGGGGTAGATCACAAATCAATGAAGGCTACACTCAGAAAGACCAAGACTTCTGGAATATGCTGCCCAAACAAAACAGTTTGCCTTTTGTTTCTACTGCCTGTCTCTCCCTTCTCACATTTATCACCAGACTCCTTGTCCAGATCTATTTCACCCCTTGAACTCTTGGAAACTTTGCACTTTTAGAGACAGGTAAGGGATTGACTCTGTGTACACCAATTTGCAGAGGGACAATAGAGTTGAGGTCTATTATTTCTCCCCTCTATATATTATTTACTTTTGCTGCTAACAAGCATGTTATCTCAGGAGTCACAAAGCCACAGTTTGAAAACTTCAAAACTAAGCATCTCTGAGGGTATCTTCTAGACTGAGCCCCAGTGGTAGATAGAAAGATTAACCTCAATCTATACGGAAGGCCCTGGAACCCCATAAAATTGGGTCCCTAGTCCATGAACTATTAGAACTCATTTACAAAACTTTTCTTACACATTACATGAATATATTGTCTCATACTATAGAATTAGAACTTATAATCCCTATTCCATGATATCTTTGACCTATAATGTATCTATCTTAATTTAAACTCTCTAGATAAAATGCCTTTTGAAGAAAAAAGCCTGTCAAACAATTCTGATTTAAATTAAAAAGAATTTTTTTATCATTGACTTTTATCCACCCTGCTCTGCGGTCAGTATCCCAAGCAGCTGGGGCATGCACCACTGATGCCTGTGGGCAGCATGACACACACATTCCCATCCATTCTCACAAGGGACAAGCTTGCTTACTAATGGAGAACACTACATCAAATTTTGACATTTTGTTTTTCTATAAACTACACAGAAAGGTGTATCTGTTGTGTTTTGTTTGGTTAAATAAAAACAAACAAATGCGTCACTTATTTGTGTATCATTTAAACTACATGTTGTGCAGATAACCCAAAACACTCTCACAAATAAGGATACATCCTTTTAAAAAATACATACCAAACCAACATTAACATATTTTAGTGGGGTTTGAGATTCTGTGTGGGTTTTTTATAGTAACATATAAAGTTTTGAAACACTGCAGACTGCTTCATTTTAATACAGTTGTTTCAAACACAATTTAGTCAAAATCAGCCAATTCTAAGTAGCTGCACCCTCAGCATTCTGCACCAGTGCCACCTCCCCCCTGCCCAGATTGGATTGATTGCCTACCTTGTTTTCAGACAAAGGGCGGAACAGCATGGTGTCTACAGAGAGCGCCTCATCCACCTACGAGGAGCTGGCACGAGCCTATGAGCACGCCAAGCTCGAGGAGCAATTGCAGCACGCCAAGTTCGAGATCACAGAGTGCTTCATCTCCGATAGCTCTTCCGACCAAATGACCACGGGGACCAATGAGAACGCAGACAGCATGACGTCCATGAGCACCCCGTCCGAGCCCGGTATCTGCAGGTTCACCGCCTCCCCGCCCAAGCCACAGGACAGCGACAGAGGCAAGAACGTGGCAGTGCCCATCCCACACAGAGCTAACAAGAGTAAGTATCCCTCGGATGGCTGAGCGCCCCCATCACCTATGCAGGACTGAGGCTGCAGCGTGGTTCCTACAACCACCGAGGTCCCAGCCCCTGAGAGCTAGTGCTCAGCATGGCACTGTCACTGCAGAGCACACACACGGCCCTCCTCCAGGTTGGTTTTCAAGCAGCCCTGCTGTGTCGACCAACCAGGGCGGCCCGTGTGAGTCTGGTAGCAGGGCAGGTGTGGCCCCGTCTGGAACACAAGTGCTCACCTACATTTGCTGCTACTGTCTGTTCCATGATTCTCTTGGTAGCTAGAACAGAAAACAGGGCTTATTTTACACAAGAGTTTGACCGCTATTTCCCAGTCTCTAAGGGCTCAGAGGGGAAATGATTTCTTACCGCAGAACGTGTCATCTCAGTGTTACCCCGCTACGCTCTCAGCCTTTCTAAGGACAAACTGAAGCATGGATGACCACTAGACAGAGCTGCTGCTCTCAAAAGGAGGGAAGTACCACTGACCCTATTGCTGTCATCTCAGTTGCACACACCTACCTAATCCTTTGCAGCTGTTAACTTAGAGCCTTCAGGTTCACACTGTGATCAATGCTTACTAAGCCCACTTTCCTTTCTCCCCACTAGCCTGACATGTCTGTTACAAGGTTTATTATACACCGATGATCCCTGGTAATTTACCGTTTGTGGTGTTATGTATTGGGTGCTGCTTTCAGTCCTCGCCTCTGAAATTCTAAGTTCGTTATAGTCAGAGACAAGAGGAGTCAGGGGGCTGGAGACATCCAGTGATGAGGAAAGGTTAAGGGCTCAGTCCTGCAAACACTGCCACCCCTGACCCCACCTTCTTGGAGCTCCATGGGACACCACAGCTATTACTCCCCCATCCATAAATATTTGTAGAATTGGGCCCTAGAAGAGCAAATGAATTTGTTTGGCTGAGTGGGGACACAGGTGAATCTCAGCACCAGAGGTTTATCCTCATAGCCCACAATTCATTAGGATACGGAACAAAGTCTTATTAATTATGATTGGATGGACTCAACCCTGCATTCACAGGGAGCTGGGCAAGATGAGCCAGTAGCGTCACACCCCACTCTAACCTTTCTCTTGTGCATTTAGGGACTGACCTTTGGATCCTATGGGGGCAGCTGCAGCCTTGCTAGCTTCACGCAGTGCATTTCCGGATAGGGCTCATGCCACTCCAAGTTGCTGAGAGATGGTGGCCAGTTTTCTGTTTTACTTGTTACTGAGCTATAGCTGCTTCCAGGTGCTGAACTCTAGAGAATTCATATTGGGGACAGGGTTGGTATTCTCTCCTAACCCTCACTCCAGCTTCAGCATTCACCAGACCTGCATCTGCTGGGATCTGTGAAAGAGCCGCCTGCATTTGCATTACTTCCTGATCTACAATCTCCAGAAGGAGGCAAGACATAAAGGGACCCCTACTGTCCTAGACCCCCTCTTCTGCCTTTGCAGTGATTGGGGCATGGGTTTCCTCCTTTCCACCCCTCCTCTGACAGCTGCTGGGCTGGGGGAGGCTAGAATGAAAGGATCCTCTGGAACCTCAGCCATGACGCCCATGAGCAGAATAAGAGAAAAGGGACTCCAGCCCCAGCATCTGTCTTCCCCCTTCAGCTATCGCTATTTCAATTGCATTTCAGCAGCAGAGGCCCCTTAGTTCTCAACCTTCAGTTTCCTCCTGATAACGCTACTTTACATCAGGGTGGATTCATCAGCTAGCAGGCGTTCCCAAAATTATAAAGAGAGACTCCTGCTCATTCTGCAATGGAACAATATTTAAGACTCCAAGCAGTCTTATGACAGCTGCAGCCACTAAAAACACAGAGGGGCTATCCCAAAGGTACAGCAAGAGACGGCAAATAACTCTTTGCATGGTTTGTAATTTCCTTACACTTTCCTCACCATTACTGGGCAGGGAGAGCAGCCAAATGTTTGTTAGATACTTCCTCTCTTTACAGCATGGGTTCTTTATTCATCTTCAGAGATGAGAGTATCAAATAGTGGTGCACATAAAGAACAGAGATCTGTCCTCTCTGATCCTGATAAGAAAAGAGCAAAGGCAGAGCGGGGTTCCTGGGGTGAAAGCGCGCACAAACCAGTTGTGCCTGTGGAGAAAGAGGAGAGCTATAAAGAGCGAAAGACAAACAGGCACTTGTTCTCAGGCACACACGGGTCAGTCAGTACCCTGGCTTCCCACACTCTATGCGAAACTGCTAGGCATTTCAAGCACCTTACCTCTGTCTTTGTTCCCTGCAGGCGATTACTGCAACCTTCCCTTGTACATGAAATCAGAAGCATTCTTCCGCAAGCCTGACATCCACGATCCTTGTCCAGTGGTCCCGCCCAGGGAAGCCTCCATCCGAAACCTAGCCAGGGCTTATCACACGCAAGCGAGGCATCTGACGCTAGACCCAGGCAGCAAGCCTTTGGGCCTGCCACACCCGGGCTCCTCCACAACTACTTTACCTCAAAGAACTCTCACCATGCCTGTCTCAGCAAACTCCGCTTCTGCTACTGTTGCTGCTGCTTCTGCTCCTGCCGCCGATCCCACTGCTGCCACCAGCGCTGAGCCACGCATGCCCACACACACCAAAATGGGAGGCTCTAGAGACTCTTTACTAGAAATGAGCACATCCGGTATAGGGAGATCTCAAAAACAAGGGGCTGGAGCATACTCCAAATCCTACACTCTTGTGTAGGAAACTAGAAAACCAATTTAAAAAAACTGCTGGTTTCCTGCATTATTTATATTGAAATAAAATAAACTCTTGTACATAATGAACTCTTTTGTATAAATGAAACTATTTTCTTCTTCTCCAGAACTGAAAAAGAAGCCAGGGCACAAAGAATTTGATGTTACAGATTTAAAAAATATATATATGTGATCTGATATATATATTTCACATCTATTTGAAAGGGGCACAAAGAGACTCAGCGATTTTTTCCCTGATATTATTGGTGGTTTTGAAAAGCAAATTCTCAAAGACATTGCATGCTGTTTACTGTTCTGAAAACAACAGGAGTTGCTTTGATTTGCAAATGCTTATGTGTTAATACCTTTTTCTATGAAAAAACCCAGCGCCGTGTGCAATAAAAGTTATGTTTATATGTTGGAGTTTTCCACTTGATTCAAGCCTCAGGATTGCACTAGAAGTGGACTGGGTTGGGAGAAGAGCTCAAAATTGCTGAGAGAAGGGTTTAGTGCTCTTGGCAGTTTGCACATCTGCCTAAAAACCGTGGCTGTAACATTTTAGCCAGGACACGAAGCCTGCAGGGAGGCATGGAATGGAGAGACACAAGCCAATCCATCACAGATCAGCAGGAGCCTCTTCCCCATCCCGTGCTGGCCAGAGGGCAAGTGTCAGGCCACCTGGGGGCACCAGAAATTGCGAGGGCATACGCTTTCTTGCCTACCTTTTGTCTTGCTTCTCGGTAGTAGCTGTGAGCCTGCAGCAGGGAACGGAGCCGGCACATCACCTGTCTGCAGACATAGTGCCCCAGTGGCTCCGAGTCAGCTGGGCAAACTCACTGAGGAAGAAAGGACACTGCCAGATATGTACGAGGCTTGGCAGCCTGGCTATGGTCCAAGTCCTGTAAAGGCATGTGCCAGGGCAGCATCCTATGACTTCAAGAGGACTCCATGTAGGAATGGGTCCGAACTGGGTACGGGCGAACCTCAAAGATACGAACACCAGAGTTACAGACTTACCGGTCAATCAGACACCCTCTGGGACTGGAAGTAATCAGGCAACAGCAGAGAGAGACACACAAAGCAAATACTTCACTGCCTTGAGGCTTTAGCCCTGGTACTCAGGGCTTCAACGGGGGCGGGGAGGGGGTCATGGCTTCAGCCCCCCCAGGGGTGCCAGTTTCAGCCCCAGCGCTCCCTCCATAGCCAAAGCCCCGAAGCCCAGTGCTCCCCACCCCCACCTGAAACCAGGAGTGGAGCTGTGGGGAGCCCCGAGCCCCCCACGGGGCAGAAGCCCCAGTGTCCCCCCAGGTCTAAAGCCCTGAGCCATGGTGCTTCCAAGGCTCAGAAGCCCTGACACCCACCTGACACTCCAAGAGGCTGAAGTCCATAACACCTTGTTCAGAGTTACGGACAAGTTCCATTTCTGAGGTTCTGCTGTAGTTCTCATTTGACACCAGAGGAGGTGCAGCGTGTGAAGTCCAGTGCTGTTCTAGCCGCCCTATCCGAGTAGTGCTGCTGTGCACGGCTCTCCTCCCTCTCTGCAGACAGAGCTGCTCTTCCAGAGCAAGGACCTGGACTCTTGCAACCCTTTCCTTCCTCTCAACAGGAGCGAGCGAGCTGGCTACACAAGCGAATGAGATGCCAAACGTGTAACGTTCTTCATCCGAGAGAAAAGATGCACGTGTGACATGGGATTATTACGGTCCAGGAGAAGAGCTTTTAAAAAAAAAAAAAATCCTGGCTACAGTTATTTGGGAGATGACATTTTCTACATTTCCTTACACAGTCAATAGATTTTTAGTCTTTCTGTAGAACCTAATTTTCCAAGGGCAGTTTGTCTCTGAAACACAGATTAGAGTGTAACTATTTACATTCCATACACAGGACAATGGAGCTTGGTTCCTATCTAGAACATTCCAACAGTATTTTAGATTCTGCTTTGGGATGGATGCTGCTAGCAGCTGCCAAGAGAGCCCTTTGATCACTTCGAGCAGGCGGGGTACTGGGTTTGGCTAGAGGAGGAGCGGGTTGGCAGGAGCTGAAGGGAGATCCCCTTCACAGGTGGGGGCTTGGCCAGGATAGCTTGAGAGGCAGCCTGTGTGAGGACAGGCTGAACCTGGGGAGGAAAATGGAGGATGCTGCAGGTGCTCCACCAGACCCAGCAGGCAGAGCATCAAGCCCCACTGGGATGGCAGGCATTTGGAGAGTTCCTGGAGGAGCAGACCCCCGTACAACAGCAGTTATTACAGACTCTGATAAGTCCCACCACGGGGAAGGGAAGTCGAGGGGGGCTGGGCCCGGGGAGGATCCCATTGCCTTTGTACTGACTTTCAAAAGAACTGCTGCTGGTGTGGGCTGGGGTAGAGCATTGTGGGCATATGGTTAGCCCTTACCTGTCAGGAGAAGCCCAAGTGCTTACCTGGCATTGAGCAAAGAGCAGGCCAAGAACTATGAGGTGTTACATGCGGCTATATTTAACCATGTAGGTTTGTGTCAGCCAAAGGATACTGGCAAAAATATAGGGCAGCCAGGTGGACGTATGGGGTAAGGCCCAGAGCATTTGCACAGATTGGGCCAACTATTGGCTGAGGCAAGATGTGGAAGTGGTCCTGGATGCTGTGATATTACGCAGAGCCTTCCACTAGGGTCTGGGTTAGGAGACACCAACCAGAGACGATGGAGACAGTGGCAAAATTGGCCGAGGAGCGTTCCAAGGAAAGCAGCTTGTCTGACACCAGCAGGGGAAGGAGGCAGGTGAGATGCCTCAAGCAGTAGGACCTGCAAGCGTGGGACAGGAAGGCCACTTGGCCAGACAGGGTAGAACTTGCTTGCAGCGCAGGGGGAAAAGGCCACATGGAGTGGGACAGCTCCTATACGGAACAGGGTCTGGGGGAACGTTGTGGCTGGACTGGGGTGATGGGAAGCTCTCAGAAGGGCGTGAGAACTATGCCGGTAAGGGTGGGCTGGTAACCGGAGATGGGGTTATTTCTTCAGAGGCCAGTTACTCACTCTTGCAGAGCAGGCTGGTTACATTGCAGTGGTTTTCGGAGGGGTACATGCTCTAGGAATGGAGCGCCTTCTCCAGCAGCATCATCCCAGTAGAGGTGTGCAGGAGGGTCAGTCCCCCCATCCCGTGGTTGTGGGGACTGATTGGAACCCATTCCCTTTAAGGATGTGAAGAGAGGCGCGCTGGAGGGCACCTCAATGGATGGTAGGAGAAAAAGGGGTCAGCATAGGACCCACAAGCAGGGGGATAGGAGTAAAAACCTAGACAAATACCAACAAACCAAGCACACAGGGCCCAGGTGGGAAATGCTGGAGAAAGGGGGACCGGTACAAGGACAAACCAAAGGAAGAGATGGGGCAAACCCCCAGTTGGAGGCCGAGAGGAGGTGGATCCCGGAGGACTTAATAGCTAACGGAGCAGAGACCATCAGACTGTGAGGTGCTGGTTGGGAAAACGCCACAGTGTGCTCTACAAAGGATGGGACAGACACAGGGCAAAAGTCTGTGGGATGCCCCTGTGGGTTGAAAGAGTCACAGGGTAGACGCCCACCCAAGGAATGTTCATTCTGTGGATGGAGAATGGGAGATGGTCCACAGGAAGTCAGACTAAGGGAACTCCAGAGGCAGTGAGGGACCACTGCCCTCCATAAAGAAGGGAGAGCACTGACCAGGAGAAAGCTGATCCCCATTAGAAAAGGGGGTCCTAGCTAAGGCTGTACAAACATAATACAAAGCTCCCCCCAGGAACTCTGTTCTTGCCAGCAAGGAGTGGGGGGAGGAGGGGCAGGCAGGCCAGGCTTCATCAGAATGCCAGAGCAAGCTACTCAGTTGGAAATACCCTCAGGCCTGTGAAGAGACGGGCTGATGCAGAGGGGGCAAATGCCCGTTCCTCCTCTGTACCCTGCTGGGAATGGGAACAGCAATTCTCCGGTGGCTGAATGCAGAGTTCTAGCAGCATGCCCAAGAGCAGGCAGGGGGCTGTGTCAGAGCGGGTTTGTAGAGGTGGTGGGTGCTGTTTCCCTTTGAGTTTTGGGGCTGGAGGGATGTCTCACTCGTCTCCACCCAGTCAGGGGTTGGGTTTGACTTTGCTGGTCTGCAGAGACACTAAGGGCAGCATTCTCCACCTGCAAACCCACTGCCTGCCACCTTCCCAGCCTACGTACTCAGTGAAGGGTTTGAGTTCTGCTGTACCATAGGAGGGGTGCTCGGACTGTGCATCTCGCCAATCTGTCCAGAGGCAGAGGGCTGCATGCAACTGGCACAGATCAAAACCGGATTCAAAAACAGATGCCCACAGCAGTTGCCTGCTCCTCTGCCTTTAACATCAGCAGCAAACGCCAGGAGTTTGAGCAGGTTGGTCTTCACCCTGAGTTACAAAGAAGGCAGCCACAGGCTCTTCATATACTCGTCACTGTGCTGATAGCCATGGTTTTAGGACTAGCACTTTGTCTATGCTTTATTCACTGATCTCAAAGCACAGTACAGAAGTAGGGAAACTGAGGCAGAGGGACACAAATTTACACAGGTGCACGTGGCAAGACACGGACTACAGGTCTGCTGCCTACCAGTGCCGTGCTCTAACCACTGGGACACGTTACGTTTTCGCATCCTGGTAGGCCACCACCACGGCAATGTTTTCCAAGCTACAAGAACAACCCGCAGCCCCTAGCAAACGTGCTACAGCGAGACAGTCAGGTTAGATTTAAAATAAAGGCTGTGCCCAATCCTTACTGAGAAACCCCACTGTTATCAGAATAGATCATCACTCTTCAAATCACATACGTTTCAGCCTGGATGCTGGTTAGATTTTACACCGAGACCAGTCACCTTCTGGTTCTCCCCATTAGACCAAGGCAGGAATGTTTACAAGCAAACTAACATGGTTCCACAATCTTTAAAACCATTTCTACTGCTATTGAACAGGTCGGAAACAATGTAGAGGCACAAGTCCGAAGTGGAGGGCCCTGTAACCACCCCTGGCATCAGCACAGTGCTATAGTC